AATGCAAACTGACACGACTCTTCAATGCATATCCAGGAGAATGACATTGACTTACACAGCATGAGGTACGCCTTTCAATAGCTGAGTTATTAAATTTGAACCATCCAACAGTCTGGAGTATTTGGGCACCACATGGCTTGGTAATAAGTTAACATCGCTTGCTGCAGATTGGACTGCATGGACACCACCTTTTGAGAAGAGATCCTCATTATATAGTCTTAGCTCTTTCGGTAAAGTCACGTTGAAGGGAAACAATACAAATAATAAAAAAATATATAAAACAATAAAAATTCTCACGACGTTTCGACCATAACACAAACGGTCGTCATCAGGTGTGTCGGTTTGCATTATTTTAATTATTTTTAAACGGTGTACTTATTTATTTATAAAAAAAACGTCAGCGCCACGCGCAGCGATTTGCCAGTTTATTTGGAAGGACTAGTCCATCTATGTTCTGAAAAGAGGAGGGGGGAGACGAAAAATTAATGTATGCTGTCTGAAAGCCACTGTAAGCGTGAACAATCAATTAAAACCTGAAATGGTTAATCAAATCTATCCAATGATTGCTAAGCCAGAATCCATCTTCTCGGTTGAAATTGTCTCTGTGCTTGTATATGTGGATAGCCTCATGAACGAATCTCTCATGGTAGCCAGATGGCTTACAAAGAACCTCTGTCTTGGAAAAGCCAATGTCATGTGAGCCTAATGAATTATAACAATGATCTGCCACGGCCGAGGTGTTGGTCCTACCGTGTTTAAGGTCTGCTTTGTGTTCACGAATGCAGTCCGAGACATGGCGTTTGGTTTCTCCAATGTAACTACTACCACAGAGGCAACTTAGTTTGTAGACACCAGGGTACTGTATGTCCGGAATCACATCTTTTACAGATGGAACCAGATCACGGATTTTATGTAATGTGTTGAAACGGACCTGGATCTTGTGTTTATTCAAGATTTTGGAGATCTTTTTTGTGATCCCCGCAATGTAGGGTAAAGTGATGGTTTTGAAAGGCTCCTCAAGAGGGTCCTTCTTCATGGTTTGAGTGATAGCTTTGCGGATTGTATAGTCGGAGTAACCATTAGCCTTAAGAGCTTGGTGTACGTGTTTGAGTTCACTGCCTATGTGTTCCTGGTCGGATATGCATTGGGCTCTATGGTACAGAGTCTTGATGAGATAATTCTTCTGTGATGGATGGTGGTGGGAATCCGGTTTCAGATAAGCATCCGTATGGGTAGCTTTCCTGTAGACAGAGTGGCTCATTGAACCATCAGGTCTCTTTTTTATTAGGACATCCAAAAAGGTAGCTTGCCATCTTTTTCGACTTCCATGGTAAATCTGATGGCTGGGTGTATGGAATTGATGTGGTCGAAGAATTGGTCTAGAGCAGGCCGGCCATGTGGCCAGATGACAAAAGTGTCATCCACGTACCTCTGGGCCCAACAATATGGAAGAGGTACGTGGATGACACTTTTGTCATCTGGACACATGGCCGGCCTGCTCTAGACCAAGTCTTCGACCACATCAATTCCATACACCCAGCCATCAGATTTACCATGGAAGTCGAAAAAGATGGCAAGCTACCTTTTTTGGATGTCCTAATAAAAAAGAGACCTGATGGTTCAATGAGCCACTCTGTCTACAGGAAAGCTACCCATACGGATGCTTATCTGAAACCGGATTCCCACCACCATCCATCACAGAAGAATTCTCTCATCAAGACTCTGTACCATAGAGCCCAATGCATATCCGACCAGGAACACATAGGTAGTGAACTCAAGCACGTACACCAAGCTCTTAAGGCTAATGGTTACTCCGACTATACAATCCGCAAAGCTATCACTCAAACCATGAAGAAGGACCCTCTTGAGGAGCCTTTCAAAACCATCACTTTACCCTACATTGCGGGGATCACAAAAAAGATCTCCAAAATCTTGAATAAACACAAGATCCAGGTCCGTTTCAACACATTACATAAAATCCATGATCTGGTTCCATCTGTAAAAGATGTGATTCCGGACATACAGTACCCTGGTGTCTACAAACTAAGTTGCCTCTGTGGTAGTAGTTACATTGGAGAAACCAAACGCCATGTCTCGGACTGCATTCGTGAACACAAAGCAGACCTTAAACACGGTAGGACCAACACCTCGGCCATGGCAGATCATTGTTATAATTCAGTAGGCTCACATGACATTGACTTTTCCAAGACAGAGGTTCTTTGTAAGCCATCTGGCTACCATGAGAGATTCGTTCATGAGGCTATCCACATATACAAGCACAGAGACAATTTCAACCGAGAAGATGGATTCTGGCTTAGCAATCATTGGATAGATTTGATTAACCATTTCAGGTTTTAATTGATTGTTCACGCTTACAGTGGCTTTCAGACAGCATACATTAATTTTTCGTCTCCCCCCTCCTCTTTTCAGAACATAGATGGACTAGTCCTTCAAAATAAACTGTCAAATCGCTGCGCGTGGCGCTGACGTTTTTTTATAAGTAAATAAATACACCGTTTAAAAATAAATAATTTAATGCAAACTGACACACCTGATGACGACCGTTTGTGTTATGGTCGAAACGTCGTGAGAAATGTTATTGTTTTATATATATTTTATTATTTTATTGTTTCCCTTCAACGTGACTTTACCGAAAGAGCTAAGAATATGAATTACTGCAGTCACGAAAGCTTTAAATCAAAATTTAGATCCTCATTAATGAGCAATTGCAACTACTGCTCCATGAAACCTTCCACACGTGTGCGACACAACCGTATACCCATAACATAAAGGTAAAGCCATATAAATGCCACAACTGCCTTTCATTAGCTAATCCGGGCTATTTATTGTTCCGATAAAACATTTTTAACATTTAGCGAGCCTTGAATAAGACCCACGACAGAATGGTTAGTATTTTTAAGTGGTCCATAAGCAAATTGAAGATGTTAAAATAACAAGGACCATAAATGTAAAACAGACCGTATGCATGGCACAGGGCTATTAGAAACGGATGTATGCTCATAAAAGGGTTTCCAGATGGAACCGCAGAAGTGGCTGTAAGCTTTTTTGGCAGGGCACCAGCTACCAACGACTGCACGACTAATTTCAAGTGTGCGCCAACAGTGTTTCAAAATCATATTTTACGGACGTAATTTAGTTTGCTACATTAAACATTATAGATCAGAATCCGCTTTAGCCTACAAATTATTTTATAATGAGAATATTAAAAGAGTAATTGTTTTTAATATACATTTCAGATTTTTTTTTAATGCAAGACTTTGGAAGATTTACAAGACAAATATTAAACATTTGCGAACAATATAAATTAATAGACAGTAGACCGTGACTTTGCTTTTACAAATGCTGGTGCTCATTAAAAGTTACTTAGAAATATTTCACAAGTTCAAAATAATACCCCCAGCAAAAGTCGGATAAGTACGCACTCTCAACACAGACACACGATAAACATAGTTACAAACATGTGATGTTTTATACAGCTTTGGAAAAAAAACCTTGGGTCATGGGAGTATCCCTGAGAAAGGAAACAAAACAACAAAACCCAGGAGGAAATTTATTTGAAATGTTTTGACCCGAAGCAACCTGTATCCTGCAATAAGCCTGCAGTACAATCGCAAGAGAATTAGACCCCACCTCCGCCCGGAAGAAACACTGGCAAGTAGTCGATGTTTTCACAGAAGCAGCTTCCATTGGACCAACATTATTTCTCATTCTTCAGTGCTGCAAGGGATTACTGGAGAAAAATGCCTTGCTGCAGCACATTTGTTGTCCGTAAACGTAAATTGAACTCCAATTTATTCCTGATCTTAAGTACTGGTGCAGTAACTGTAAATACTGTAATGGTATGATGATAATGATGGATTCTTCATTACTCTTCCATGTGTCGTCATTTGCCAGGTCCATCATGCGAGAATCACTAACTTTATAATGTGCACCAATTCATTTTCTCCCGATGTAGACACCATAATGTAATTCTTATTTTGAAAAATTACCTTTTAGTCAAGAGGTTTTAAAGAAATCTAAATTTCCACAGGCTTCTCTTTATCAAGGATTATCTTTCAGGGATAAATAATCAGCCCTAAAAAAGGTTTGAGTGATGAGATCTCACCAAGCTTAGCTGACTCTTCCACTGTGCTCCTCACATTTATTTTGTGCACACTTCACATTTTCCGATGCTGAGGATGAGGCATCAAGAGGGAATTGATGACCAACTGCCCAGACAAAATTAGATTTTTTTTTTTACTGGGTATAGAAGCCATAACATTGTTTTCATCACTCTTTTAATAAATGTACCATCTGTTTGAAAAAACCCTCTGAATTGCTGAAGATGCACAAATAGACTAATCAGACTAACTGTATTTAAAAGGGCATTATACTCATATTCTTCAATGGACTTAACGATTAGTGTGGTGTTGCCGGATGAGAACTACTCCTCCGCTAATTTTTAATGCACGGAAGTTTTATTCGCTTCGTAAATGATGTTTACGTACACCTTCATGTGACCAGTTGCACAATGACAGTATATTAGACACGTGTGCAAAGAGCTATAGAAAAAACAAGGTCGTGTTCGAATGAATAATAGTCATCAACAAACATTTCCAAAATGCCACCGTTTGTATTGAAAATATCTTTATTGCTCTTGGTTGTTTTTTCTTAACCACATAAAATAAAGTCTCCTTTTCTCCAGGTATCTTTCAAGTTGATTAAGAAGGTAAGTGTATGTTTACAGTGATTGCTATTATGATCTATATCACTATGCTTGTGACTCATTGTACTGCTTATAAAATAAATATTTCAACTCAATTGTTAACTAACCATGGTAGTAACAATTGATTGATGAAATTCAAACTGGGAAACACATTTTCGTTTTTTGCCCACACAAGAATAATTTAATAGGTAATGTACGAATTTTTTATCCGTCATAAAAAGGGAATTTGAACATTTATTTCTGAAAAAGTATAATATCCCTGCACAGTACTCACGTTCTGGCGATCACCCGTGAGGTGAGCAAACTCCACCATCTCGTTGCCAAACTGGCTGAACACCTGAACAAATTCCTGAAAGCTGCCCACATTTTCCAAGCGCTCCAGGCTTGCCAGGACCTGTGAGAGGCATAACACAGATACAGAGCAGAAAAATCAGTGCACCTTCTAATTATGATCTATGAACACAGCCAAAGCCACATGTAGGGCATGGAAAATAGCACGAGCCAAATTCCCATTAACAGGGCATGGGCTTACGTCATTAAATGACCCTAGACAACACATTGTCTGAAATAATTCACAAGTGCAGTTACTTTTATCTGAGGATCATCAAACGATCCACTGTGATTTAATGGTGGGGAAAATGCTTGTCAGTAAGGTCCTAATGGCTCACACTCTATCATGCTCTTGATAGTGTCATGCAATTCCAACATTGTGCTTACTTGACTTCCAAAAATATCAATAAAGTGGCAGTACATTAGAGGTGGCTGTATACATAATAAAAGATAACTGACATTGCGTTTGACTTCTTAAATTCAGCGTGAGAGTAAACAGCGTAGAGACAAAGAAAAGCAGCTCAGGAATGATCACTGTGAGTGCGTCGCTGTGCGCTCTATGGCGCACCTTGCTCCTGGAGGTGACGATTTGTTTGATGACAACGCGATCGGCAAGGACGAGGACTCTGGTGACCGACGAGAGCAGAAGGCGAGCGGAGCGCGCCAGGACGCCACGCTCGGACAGAAGCGGGGCAGACAATGGCGTTGCAGAGCCAGGCGGCCGGGGGGATTCCAAGTCAGGGCCGTCCGTAGCGCAGGCCTCTGTCAGTCGGTTTATAGCTTCCCCTGCACATCATGGTACCAATACGTGCAACTCAATACGGCTTTAGCCTTGAGAGACATGTAATGGCATGGTGTGTTGTGTGATGCAGCAGTGTGGTGTGATGTCGTGCTGTGGAGTAATATGGTGGGATGGAATGTCATAGCTGGGTGATGTTCAATTGGCATCAGTCTAGTTTTAACGGGGATAAGTTATGCATCAGCCCATGTGTCTGGGTTACAGGACAGAACAATCTGGAAAATGCAGTACCTGCTATTGGCGCCTATCAAACAATGGAATTGACCATCCAGGGATCAATGATTGACCTGACCCACTCAACACTTTGCACATATACTACTACTGGGTTCTCATAAAAAAGTAGACATTTTGAATATAAATGCATGCAAATAAGTTGAGTGAGTTACCATTTTTTTATGTATATTATTCTCCAACTGCACTACTGGTGTCGCGTGCTGTCATTTACACTTTGTTTTTTGCAGCAGTGTCCTGATTTTCTCTGTTTAGTTGAAATCTGTCACATGCAGCCTCTTTAAACTTAAAACTCATTCACTGCACCTTAAATACTTTTTTTTAACGTAAACACTTTTATCCCATTCATTAGTAGGGATATGTATTTTGCATATATCGATTTTCCAAGCATTTTTTTAATTGAATAACCAACGCGTAATGAAACAAAAGAGTGTATTGGAAACTCCACAATGGTGATAGTAGTTAGTCTGCATCCTCAGCTCGCATGAGGATACGCGATGGATTATTGCATCGCAAGACCATAAGAGAAGGTGACGGCTTGGGGGAGGCCTTCATGAAGCAGTGAATAAATCATGGCTGATGATATAAATGATGATCAAGCACATTAGTGTATGTTACACAATATACAATACTGTATATTGATGTTTAAATTTGATAAAAGTGGGAACGTGTACTGCGTTGTCGTATATTATAACGGTAAGATCTACGTATTAAACCGTGCAGATTTAGTCGTAATATACTGCACTGGGACACATATTTTGGGATAACGATGATTAGACTGATGAGACAGATGGGTCCGGCTGTGTTAAACGTCCCGTGTCCCCGGGGCAGCGATGCAGGGTGGGGTGGGGGGAACGGGTGGGGTAGCATGGAGCTGCGTGCACCTGCGGCTCGGGCCTCCCGGCACGCCAGGCTCATTTCCGGCCGCAGCTCGGGGTTCTCCTCGGCGATGGCCTCGCCAATCGCCACGAACCGCTCCACGGCCACGGAGAGTGACTGGCCCACGCGCCGCACCGCCCGCACGGACCGCTCCGACTTGTGCCACTTCTCCTTGTGGCTCACGAGCGTCGTGATCTGCATGGTGGCGGCGGCGGCGGCGGCGGGGAACGGCACAGACACAAATGACCGGTCACAGATTGCAGCCAACATGTCAACGATGGCGCAATTAAAGATTGTAATCGACGGGTGTGAGTTAATACATTTCTCGAATTGAGCAAGGTTGTGAGAAAGTATTAACGTGCATACTCTGTACAGGACGATCCGTTCATAGAGTTCCCACTGTATAATGATGTAATGACCCTCTTACTTTCCTCTCGACAGGTGATTGAATGATGTGAAAGTGATGGCTCCACATCTCACAGAGGAGAGCGATAAAAGATTTATTAAGTGTATTCAGGTTGGCACCAAACGTGTGGAGGCTTTCAAATAAAATTAAGGTTTTTTTTTATAATTCCTACAAATTATTTTAGTGGAGTACCTATAAATAGATGAGCCTGTATATTTTTACATATATATCACAGTTGCTGACCACAGGTACAAAGAGCAAAAACTACAAGTGACCAGAAACAAACAGCACTATTAAAGTTGTAATAGATAAGCATGAATATGTTATCCTGGGTTGAACAAGGTTATAAGAAATTGAGAAAAAGAGACGATGGGAGGGAATTTCAAAGTCAAGCAGTGAGAGGGGAGAAGCGCAGTGTTTTGACCCGCATTGTGTGGTGGCTGAACACGGTGTGGATGAGACGGAACATTCTGGTAGATTGAGTCCTCAACATGGGAGTAGAATCCCAATAATTTAAGTTCAAGGGAACAGTAACCATGGTAGTAGCAATTTTTAAATGATAAGGAGGTGAATGAACGCCTGTGGGCAAACGACTGCGGTGAATCGGTGAGTGCTGGATCATCAATCAACCCGACCGCTTTATGTTGAATTATCCACCCCAGATACAGTCCGGCATTCTACAGATTACCGTTCCTCACGTTATTGATCAATAGGAAATATCTTCACGATTAATTATAGCGTTGGTGAAAATGTAGCTTGAAACACCAGCAAGCAACATAGCCAGGATTCTTTATTTTATATAGAGTGGGTGCCTCAATGTGGTCTTCCCAGGTTTCATGCGTATATCAAAATCACCCACAATGGGCCCGATCCTAGAAGCTAAGCCGTTTGAGCCTGGATAACTCTCGGATGGTCGACCACCATTCATAAATAAATGACACTCAACACATTCGTCAAGAACATTGAGATTTTTTTTCGCGTCTGCTTTTGCACCACTGCCAATGCAACAGCATCAGCAAATAATTCGTACAGCGGGGTGTTTGTCAGCTGCTATATTGTCAACAGTGGGCAGTGCAGAAATATCCATTGTACTGTACTGTGCTCCTGGCCTTTACCAACTCAACGTGGTGAAGTATGGTCAAATAACCCCCTCGCAAACCCGCACGATTAGCACGGTTGTCTCCGTACGGTGCGAAATAAGTTCAACATACATCCACTTAGTAGTATCATTACCGCTCAATGTGCAAATGGCGTGATGCCATTCGCTATGAAGTTATGTAATGTGAATCCCCAGAGCGTACGCACTTTTCTCTTTAGCTTTTAATATTCAAAGTTTGCGTCTTCGCACATGGATTGTACAAGTTTGCTGATTTGAAAACATTTTCTGTTCAACTGGCTTCATGCTATTCCAGTTGATCAAAATCACGTACATCCAAATACAACTAAAATTACGTGGCACAATCTGTAAAAAAAAATGAACAAACAACCGACTGTAGTATTCTCTAGAGTTCACAGGGAAATTAACAACTTTAAAATAAAAATACTGTTGCCCAAACGAAACATTCTGACCAACGGCGTGTGTCGTCAATTTTAGCAAAACAACTATTCCAGCATCATTCCCCGTCAATGATGTATTGGCAATTCCAAAAGCAATTTCCATGTACACCTATCAGTTTGAATAATGTCGTGTTTTTAATTTGCTTATCACCAGTGCCAAAGCAGTTTAAAAGTGTTCTATGCGTCAGAAGCTATGATTAATGAGCCACAAAAAGCACACCATCAGGGATAAAATATCCAACAGTCTTTTAAAGTAAAGGCATTATTTCATTTTTTTACTCACAATACAGTTTTTTTTTTTCAAAAACAATCCTCTAAGGGTTATTGTTTTGAGAGCTCAGATGATTGGCGAAGAAATAAGGCATACTTTGAACCTCAAGGCATTCTAATAAACATAAAGGCTTTCATGAAGCATTCTACCATAGTCTTATTCGACATCAACTAAGAGGAACAACTGTCACCGCTCGCCGTAACACCATCACGCTTGTCAGACTAAAACATACAAACTCCAAGAGCCACAGTCCTAAACAGCTGCCCCCGGTAATATATGCGAGTCCAACTTCACATTTGCATGAGATGCGTTATTAAATCCACAAGCAGACATCAGATATTCCGGTGTACTTTTTGAAAGACAAATATTTCACCGGTGTGTTGAAGAGTGAATCCACAACAATTGTAAATGTTGTGGATTCACTCTTCAACACACCGGTGGGCTAAAGTAGTGAACTAATTGTATTTTGTCAACGTGACACTTTTTTACTGATTGGCCGTGTCGGGTGGTGGAGGGTTACGACACATTTATAAATAACGCCAACCCAAAAACGTTTATTATGATTAATATTGGTCGCGAAAGCCTACGTGTTATAATTCCACTTACCACTCAAGTTGCCTATTTAAGTACTATATAACAATCTTGACTTGAAGCTTTCGTGACTGCAGGAATCCATACTCTTTGGTTCTTTCGGTAAAACCACGTAGGTATAAAATAAAATCAATCACGACGCTTGTGTAGTGCCCGTAACGTCGTGATTTATTTTATACCTACGTGACTTTACCGAAAGAACCAAAGAGTACAATATATAACAATCCCTGGTAAAAAATAATAATGCTATGAAGGAATCCAGTTGGATACACCCACAAACATTTATGTTATTTTAATGCTTGACCCACAAAACAAAATTAAAGTACAAAAATATACTTAACCTTAAATCTAAATTACCTTGCAATTAAACATTTTCTCCAAAATACATTGAACGTGGAATTGTAGCAATTTTGAAATGGATGCATGCACAGTTGGCATGCGGTATAAAAGTGCAGGATTCATTTTTAATGTACAGCTCAGAACAAAAAAACTGCGTTGCGTCTGTCCTCTGAGATCAAAGTAAAACTGGCAAAATATTCCGCTGTGACTTATATAGGCGGTTGATGTAAGCCTACACTTGCAAATCTGCAGTAAAAGGAACACATAAATGAACAATCATATTTATCCTCACCATCCTTGTAGGCAGTACTCTATGTAATGCAGCCTGGCCAAAAAAAATAAGAGCAAGGCATTGTGGTCCTCATACAATAAATATGCTGAAGTTATTTTAAATTACACACATCTCGAGTTTATATATTTTGTCAAAACATATCACATGATATATATCATACGCACAAACGTATATTACAGTTTTTACTAGGATAGGGATGGAGTGATGGATTAATGTATCGAGTCATGTGTGTGTTCAAATGTGTATATGTTGTATGTAATTTGGTTCGCGTGCCCTTTGCAGCCACGAGTGTCACCACTGTTCACTGCAATGTTAAAAAAAAGATAAACGATTCTTAAATTGAATCGCAACCTTTAATCACAGTGACTCATTGACTCGCTGCGGGGAGTGAATCATTCCACACATAATTATCATCAATGACAAGCCCATTAAACTATATATTACAAAAAAAACTAAGAAACTGAGCGTAATCTTTGAGGTATTGCGCTTATTAAAAGTTTTACTAATTCATGAATTAATTGTGCCTCAAGAGGCTCAAGTTAAAATGTTGGACAAGAGATGACAATCGAAGCGAGTTAAGCGTATTGCACGAATACGACTTCGTGTAGCCACGTGCTACTTGCAGCCCTGATCTTAGGTGCGAGTCGGTGGAAAATTTCCCGAATATTTCCGTCGTCTTTGTGACAATCCCCTTGCCACAGCCCCTTTATAGCGACCAATGCACAGGGGCGATCAGGAGAGTCGCTTCGCTTGCATTTATTTAAACCTTCGCTACTCTTCCCGACTTGCCATGGCAGATTCCCTAACTGGCACTTTTTGCTCCAGCTCAGTTTCTCATTTAGCTCCTGAGTGTAACCTCCGTCCCAATGGTACAGGCGTTTCAGCTTATGTTGCTGTGCCCTGGTGTGGGACTGGGAGAACAAAGCAGTGTTGTTCCTTTGGGCAGGAGCAGGCTGCATGACCTTTAAAATGCAACAACGTGTTTGGTTGTGTTGTGGTTGTCTGGTCAGGTCAAACGCAGCAGTTTAACGTTTGCGCCCATAGGCGCAAGTGACTCATCTGCCATAACGAGTCTCGGCTCTGAGCCACACTTGAGAAGATGCAAAAAGATAATGGTCAGCTCTTAACACACTTCCCAGCTGTCCCATAATGAAGGTCTGCTACACCTAATGAGGCCTAGATACATCAGTGGCGGGCCGTGTATTTTACACCTAGGACTTCAGTGCTATCCTCCTGCAATTAAACCGCCTTCGAATAACCTCACCATGACACTAGGGCTATAGGCTATTGTCAGTCGACGTAAGCACCCCATATTCAGTGACAGTAACCTTTATTGGGTAGAATAAAGTGATTTAACACGAGGCTTAACACCTATGAGAGTTACAATACACTAATTGCAGAGACATGAATACATGGTGACTGAAACCATCAAGGATGTACCACTATTACGCAGTGTGACAGGATGCTGCATCACAAATAGACATCACATAGCCCAAATCAATGTCATTACCAAAGAAATAAGAACTAACTCACAACAACATTTACTCATACGACCACCAAGCAAGCAAAAATGCCGTAAAACACAAATAACACAATCAGGCTTCAACAGGCTTCCCACAGAAAATAAAAATCTAAAGCACTACATCTAAAAATTTAAACGTCACGAAATTTTTTAAAATAAATCTTAGATGATGCTACGTTACATGCTAGCTAGTTTTACTTCAGTTAGCTAACTGGCC